GAGAGAGAGAGAGAGAGAGAGAGAGAGAGAGAGAGAGAGAGAGAGAGAGAGAGAGAGAGAGAGAGAGAGAGAGAGAGCTTGGTGACATTTGGATCCAGACTCGACAATGGATTTCAGACATATTGAAGAGGGATTATTTGGGACTTGTAACGAGACTTGGTGTTGACGACTTTCCCATCTCCCCCTTCCTCTTCTTTCTCTGATCCCCTCCTCTTCGTTTGTGTATGTCTGGACCTGGCGCCTCTTTCCTGTGTATAGCGCCAAGCCCCTTCATGTCGTGTGATGAGCATGATGTATGTCTGGTCTGCGTTGAAACATTGATTGGGCTAGTCATTAGTATTCTAGCATCCTGTTTCGCTATCTTGTACATGTGAAAGAGGTCAGTCCCGGTCAGGTCAGGGCTTGTATCCAAAGTCTTCCCTGCGCTATAAAGCACCATTTTGTATGTATCAGAATGCACATTGCTTGTTGAGATTCCACTTGCACTGCATTGTCCATTCAGACCTTTTTATCACATTGCGGATTCTCGGTTTGTATGTACATCGCCCAACTGGGCATGTAACAGTTGGTATCGGACTACCGCACGTGAATCAGGACAACCTGATCTGACACGTGTGTGGGGACTAGGTAGCTGATTAGTCTTGATTGATTGATTAGAGGTTACTAGTTAACCCCCCAAATCACGATTTTGACCTCACTGTCGAAAATCGAATTTTTTTTCTTTTCTTGGATTTCGTTTTCTCACTATTTCTGTTGTGGAAAATCGCAATAGCGCAACATCTGAAATTTCCGTTTTCATTTTTCTTCCGAAAATCCGAAATTTCGTTGTTGGAAATCCGGAATATCTTTTTCTCGAAAATTTCGATCTCCTTTTGCAATTTCCCGTTATTTGGAAATTCAAAATATTTTTTTTCAAAAGTCATTTTTCAGAAAACGGTACGGTAAATCCCTCTTGCAGTACCATTTTCCAAACTGCGAATACTCTCATCTGAGTAAATCCGAATACTTGTTATTTCTTTTCGGAATTTTTTTTTCTTTTTGTAGTTCTATGATTTTCACTACCTGATAATCATTTGCAGTCTGAAGTTCAAAATTTTTTTCCTCATTGATACTTTTTCACTTCAAGGGAGGTTGGGAGACCTACTGAACTTGCAAAACTCGGGATTTTTATTTTTCTCGAATTTTTTTTTGCAAAGTTCAAACTTTTCGTTTTGATTAGTGGCTCCTTATCTGGGCGTTATCTGGGCGATTATCCCACCCACCCCTCCCCACCTATGTTGTTGCCACCTCTGGTCTTACCTTCTCTATCTGTCTCCGGGTACCCCCTGCGGCGGCATTGGTGAGTTGCCACGTCAGCAGGCCACGTTAGCGGACCACATCAACGGACCACGTCAGCAGGACACGTCAGCAGGCCACGTCAGCCGAGAGCAGAGCCGCGTCAGCCGACAACAGTACCATGTCAGCAGGCGCCCGGCCTGGTCTATGCCTTTGCGTTCACAAACAACCGTCATGGATCAGAAGTCCGGGGAAACGGGCGAGGCCTATCAGGCCCGGATGCTGCTTTTGATTACCGAAGCTAAGCAACGGTTGGATGCGGTAGCAGCCGCAGCACAGAAGAAGGCAGAGGACACCGAGAAGACACGTCTGCTGGCAATTGAACAGCAGCGCCAACACGACAAGGCAGCAGCAAAGGCTGCCGATGAAGAACGAGTTCAACATCGTGAGAAGATATTCAGCGGAGAGCAAGCTTTGCTCACAATGGCAGCGGATTGGCGGGCCGAGGCCGAGAATGGCAAGATGGAAGATAGTGAAAACAAGATCGCTCTACTCCTCTCCCATCTCACGGACCTCCTGGCAACATGCATTACACAGCAGGAGGACATCCACAGCCTCGACGACGCGCTGACTCAAGTCCACAACAACCTCCGGCAGCTGGAACAACAACCTTTCGCCGCTCCCGATGCCAACTCTTCCAACACCTCCAATCGCCTCGAAGCATTGGAGATTGACGTCAGCTCCCTCAAGGACGGCGTGCAGTTACAGCAAACCACAATGCAACAGTTGGAGCAGCGAATCTGTACTGCTGCCAACCACTCGAGCTCGGAACCGCGCGAGACAACTCCAAAGTTCGGCGCGCAGAAGATCTTATGCGACTCGACGAAGACAGATCTAATTCCATGGTTCCACAAGTTCGAGCTCACACTGCAGCTACACTACGTCAAAGAACACAAGCACCACGTGTACTTATACTCCCGGTCGGGGGGCGCGTGCCAAGCATGGTTGGACTTGCATACCAAGATCAATTGGGATGATCTGAAGACGGCGTGGCATAAGGGGTTCCAAGTTGAGCCGCCAGAGATCAAGGCAATGGACAAGTTGATGGTCTTCGAACAAGGCACGCTGCCAAGTACTGACTGGATTGTCGAGTACCAACGCTTGACATCCGTCCCAGATATTCAAATAGGCTTCCAAGCCATCGGCCACTATTTTATCTCAAGGTCATGTCCAGCATTGAGCAATGCCTTGACTCACGTCAAGGACACCCCGACGACAACGGCGGAACTCTTTGACAAGACCACATAGATTATTGCCACGAACAAGGAGGCCAAGAATCTCCCGCGTTCGTTTGCACCAAGCCTGGGCACAAATCAACATCGACCGAAAGTGGTCGTGGTCATGGCGGCAACGCCAAGTGACCAAACTAGCGAGGTCGTGTCTGCCAATGAAGGGGACAGACTCGCAGCGGCCCGGGAAAGTGGCCGCCCCGGCAAAGGCCGAGGACGCGGCAAGGCGAAGACAAACACCTCATCTAGCCCTGGACCCGGCGCAGCAGCTCAAGCCCCATGGTCCCATTACGGTCTCTCCAAGCAAGCATTCAAAGCACGCACGAGATTTCATTATTGCCTATGGTGCAACAGCGATCTCCATGAGACAGTGGCCTGCCAGTCAAAAGGCAAAGGCAAATCGGGAAATTGAGCACCATCGGGAGCGACTCGACGACACTCTCGACGCCTTCGGAACTGGTCGCTTCGCGGGTGACCGCCCTTCATTCCGAGGCACATGCGGAAGTCGATAATCCTCCTCTTCTTTATTCTTTTGAGGGCTATGCTGCCCGGCTCGTTCCTACGCTGGGTACTCAAGCTCAAGGACAAGACATGTGTGCGGCATCTTCTCCGACCGGCAGTGGCGACTTATCATCTTCAAGTGGTTCTTCACGGGATTCGGCGCGCGAGTTCAACATAGAGGTATTGGACCCACTCACGTACGGGGATTTCGCATGGCTTCCTCTCCCGACCACGGGCCGCTTGCCAAGACCGCAATGCGCAGCACTATGCGCTCATCTTCACGCGTACTCATCCTTCTATGCACCACCAACTTCGCCGACGGATGACGAAATCGAGGTGGGGGACATCCTTGCGTATGTTACCAAGGTGGCCCGCGAGTTTCGCAATCAGCAGTACGACGACAACAACACACCACTCCTCTATGTCCGCATCCAAGTTGGGCAAGCGTCCTGCAGCGCTTTGCTGGATAGCGGCGCATCTCGCAATTTTATGAGCCAAGCCTTTATGCAAAGGGTTGGCCTTGGTGCACAAGTTCGAAGGAAGGCAAACCCGACGGCGATCAAGTTGGCGGACGGAAGCAACTTATCGACCGCTACATCGAGGTCGTACCGGTGCATTTCGCACCTCGTGCATGCGAACCGGTGACATTTGACATTTTGGACACGGACTTCGACATTATTTTGGGAATGCCTTGGCTTGCAAGTGCGGATCACACGGTCAACTTCCACCGGCGGACTCTTACTGTTCGCGACACATTCAGCGCCGAAATGTCGTGTACTATTCCTCTTCCACACCCTTCGATTCAGTGCCAAGTGGTGACAACCAAGTCATTATGGGCAACTTATGCTTACTAGCAGACCGACAAAATCGGCCTATGTTTCCTACGGACCGTCGCCGTAGCCGACTCTTCACCCACGAACTTATCTTCGGACCCCCGTGTGGTGCGGTTGCTTGACGAGTTCGCTGACATCTTCGAGTCACCTACCGGTGTGGTGCCGGATCGGCCGATTTCTCACGAGATCATTCTTGAGGCCGGTGTTGTGCCGCCGAAAGGTTACATTTATCGCATGAGCGAGGATGAGCTTACGGTCCTCCGCGCACAACTCGATGATTTGTTGGACAAGGGTTGGATCCGCCCTAGTAGCTCTCCGTACGGAGCGCCAGTTCTCTTCGTTCGGAAGAAGAACAAAGATCTACTATTGTGCATCGACTACCGCAAGCTCAACGTGCAAACCGTCAAGAATGCGGGGCCTCTTCCTCGCATCAATGATCTTCTTGATTATTGGGCGACGCAAATGTTTTTCTAAGGATTTGAAGTCGGGATATCATCAAATCTCGATCGGACCGAACGCTCGTTACAAATCCGCATTCAAGACGCGGTATGGGCATTTTGAATAGGTGGTCATGCCTTTTGGCCTCACCAACGCCCCGACGACCTTTCAAGCGGCAATGACCAACGAGTTCCGTGCAATGTTGGACCGGTTCGTGCTGGTCTACTTAGACAATATTCTCGTCTATAGCCGGTCATTGGAGGATCATCTTAAGCACCTTCGACGAGTGTTGGAGACGCTTCGCCGCGCCCAGTACAAGGCCAACCACGACAAGTGCGAATTGGTCCGGCAAGAGCTGGAATACTTGGGCCATTTTGTCGCACCGGAGGGCATCAGTCCTCTATCAGGCAAGATTCAAGCCATCCAAGAGTGGCCGAAGCCACGGAACGTCACGGATATCCGTTCGTTCCTTGGTCTTGCCGGCTACTACCAGCGTTTTATCAAGGGCTACTCGAAGGTCGCGGCCCACTTGACCAAGCTTCAATGCGAGGATCGGCCGTTTGACTTCGGAGAGGAGGCGCGAGAATCATTTTTGGCTCTCAACGCCGCACTATTATCTGCGGAGGTCTTGCGCATATACGACCCACTTTTGCCTACGCGCGTCACTACAGATGCGTTCGGCTATGGCATTGGTGCCGTCCTCGAGCAACACGATGGCGTGGACTGGCACCCGGTTGAGTATTTCAGCAAGAAAGTGCCCGTCGTGCACTCCATTGACGATGCACGCAAGGAGTTCCTCGCCTTCGTCCACGCGCTCAAGCAGTGGCGGCACTTCCTCCTTGGTCGAATTCAATTCCGATGGGTAACGGACAATAATCCGTTGGTCTTTTACAAGACCCAAGACACCGTCAACAACACCATCGCTCGACGGATGGCTTTCATCGACCAGTTTGACTTCTTTCCCGATCACATTCCGGGGAAGTCGAACCGTTTAGCGGATGCTCTCTCACGACGTTCGGATCATTGTACCGCGGTCTATTCGACCTTGGAGATAGACAACGACCTGCGGGACTGCTTCGTGTGCGGCTACCAAGCCGACCTCGAGTTTCGGGACAAGTACGTGAATTGCTCCTCTCCTAATCCGACGCCTTCTCATTACCGGATCCAAGAGGGGTACTTGCTTGTCCACACACGGGAGAAGGACGTTCTTTGCGTACCGAGTGACCCTCACTTGAGTACACGGCTTCTTGGCGAGTTCCACGATGCTCCCGCCACCGGACACTTTGGAGTCAATCGCACGATTGGCCGACTTCGCGAGCGATTTTCATGGCCCGGCCTTCTCGGCGACGTCACACGCTATTGGGAGTCATGCGAGGTTTGCCGACGCTGCAAATCCCGGAACCATCGTCCATACGGCGAGTTGCGACCATTACCGGTCCCCTTGCGGTGAAGGGAAGTTATTGCCATGGACATTACCGGCCCGTTCCGCAAGCACAAGACCGGCGTGGATGGGATTCTCACGGTGGTCGACCGACTCACCAAGTTCGCCATGTTTTTGCCTTGCCGCTATCATGCCAAGGCACCGGAGTTGGTCGAGGTTCTTTATGCCGGTTGGATTCGCAGTAAGGGTTACCCCAAGGAAATCGTCTGCGACCGCGACACTCGGTTCATGTCCGATTTTTGGTTTTCGCTCATCAAACGATGGGGCTCATCTCTCAAGCCAAGTTCGGCTCGCCACCCCCAACCCGATGGCCAAACGGAAAGGGCGCATTAGACCGCACAAGTGCTCCTTCGCACTCTCATCCGCCCCGACGAGAAGGATTGGGTTGAGCGGTTGCCGGATGTCGAGTTGGCCTACAACTCGTCCATCCACCCGGCTATCGGGATGTCGCCCTTCGAGTTCGAGCACGGCTCACCGGTCACTTCGTCGTTGGACACAATCATTCCACGAACAGCCGAGAGTGACGACCATCTTCTTTTCTTGCGTCGGATGCAAGAGCTACTTGTCCAGGCACGCGACCAGATGGCCAAGACACAGCAGCACATGAGCCAACAGGCCAATCGCCAACGTCTCCCTTGCCCATTCCGCGCCGGCGATGTCATTTGGGCTTCCACCGCGGAATTCAGCCTTGAACAAGATATCTCTCGCAAGCTGCTCCCGAAATGGATGGGGCCCTGGCCGATTGTGGCACCCGTTGGGGATGCACCCGAGGGACCTTCCTTCACTATTCAGGTGCCCGCCCACTTGCCCGTCTACCCAGTCTTTCATTGCTCCAAGTTGGTTCTTTACACGCCAGCGGAGCATGACAATTTTCCCGTGCGACGTTCGCAAGACCCACCCCCTATGGACGGTTTTGAGGAGGTCGGCGACATCATCTCCCAGCGACGCTACGACAACAAAACAACCGAGTACTTGGTCCATTTTGCATACTGCACACATCGAGCTGACCGTTGGTTGACCCGTGCGGAACTTCAAGCAACAGCTCCAGACGTTCTTGCACACTACAAACGCAAGATGCAAGGCAAGCCGGTCTCTTCGGCTCCACGCCACACCCGCGTCCAAGTTCCACCTTCAGATCGCCAGCTTCGCCCTCGCCCCGGCTTGACTTCATAAGGAGGGGGGGGTGTTACATGCTGTGCCTGCACACGAGGGCCATTTTCCAGGCCCTGCGTCCCTCAGCCTGAAAGCCTGAAAACTAGGGCCTACAGGCCCCGTGTCTGTTCAGCTCGAAAGCCTGAAAAACAGGGGCCTACAGACCTTGTGTCGTTTCAGACTAAAAATGGCAGTAGCCTTTTAGCGTGAAACGAAGGGCCATTTTCGGTCCTTCGTCAGACCGACCTGCCCTAAAACTCAGGCACCAAACCAAGGTTTTAGGAACAGGGTATTTTTGGCCTGTTCCCACGACAACTGCAGCGCCAGACCCTGGCTCAGTTTGGCATTGGCAAGAGCAGCCTCCTGGACGGCCCGCCCTGCAACTGCAGGCAATCGGAGGCAGTCAGGAGGCAGGCCGAGGTAGTACATAGGGACTTCCCATGCACTTCACAGGGAGGCAGGAGGCAGTCATTAGTCTTCAGGATTCGGCAGCTGCACTCTGGAGGAGCGCTGCAGGAGTAGTTGTAGTGTTAGCAGTAGTCTTCGACGCTGAGCGCTAGTAGCGTTAGTTGTAGTCTTCAGCGCTGGGCGCCATAGCTAGAGTAGTACTAGAGAGAGAGAGATTGGGCGGAGGCCAAGGATACTTACCTGCAGCGCTGTTGCTCCAGCTTCATCTTCGAGGTACCTGCAGCACAGCGCCATCTTCACAGGTTAGTACCTGACCCATGAGAGAGAGAGTTCTCCTTCTTCCTCTTCTCAGTCCACCATCTCCTTCTCACCCTCTCGCTATCTGACTTCACTGCATCAGCAGACTACGAGAGAGAGAGAGAGAGAGAGAGAGAGAGAGAGAGAGAGAGAGAAAGAGAGAGAGAGAGCTTGGTAACATTGGGATCCAGACTCGACATTGGACTTCAGACATATTGAAGAGGGATTATTTGGGACTTGTAACAAGACTTGGTGTTGACGACTTTCCCATATCCCCCTTCCTCTTCTTTGTCTGATCCCCTCCTCTTCATGTGTGTATGTCTGGACCTGGCGCCGCTTTCCTGTGTATAGCGCCAGGCCCCTTCACGCTGTGTAATGAGCATGATGTATGTCTGGTCTGTGTTGAAACATTGATTGGGCTAGTCATTAGTATTCTAGCATGATGTTTCGCTATCTTGTACTACGTGAAAGAGGTCAGTCCCGGTCAGGTCAAGGCTTGTATCTAAAGTCTTCCCTGCGCTATAAAGCACCATTTTGTATGTGCAATGACTTGCTGATTTCGACTGCCGAGACTGACTGCAAGGTTGTACAGTGTGTGTGCTGTGTGCTTTGCTGTGTTTTTTTGTTTGCACTGAGGGCCGCCCACTGTTCTAAAAATAGCTTAGACTAACAGCAGTAGGGGTTGAGTGGTTACGGGCCATAAGTGGCCCTGAGCCCTAAGTGCAGCGGTAGGACCGATTTCGTGGAGGCCGAGTAGGCCCTAACTGAAACGGTACCGGTAGGCCCTAAGCTAGGATAGTGTAGAATCTACAAGTAGGTTGGGGTAGGACTGTTGGGGACTTTTGACTGTTCATTTTCGCGAAGCAGCAGTTGGAGAAGCTAAGCAAGTTGGCGGTGGCAATTGTCTACAGGCGGCATCCTGAGACCCTTGCTACGGACGGCAGCCATAGCCGGCCCTCTGAAGGTTGCCAGAGTTGGGGCAACCTCAGCGCATCTACCCCTGGGGGTATCTGCGTGTGGCCAGGCTAGTGTTTGTGGGTGGTGGCAGCCATAGCTGCCGGTTTCTTCGTCAGAGTTGTTCATCGGCACTGAAGACTTTAACGTAGGATCTGTTCTTCATCTGGGTGGTTGGCGCTGGCCTCAGGGAGGCTGTTTCGGTTGTGCGCTACTAACTGGGTGTAGGGTAAAGAGTGGAGTGT